AAAATTAAAAAAAAATAAATAAAAAAAAAATAAAAATTCCCCAAGTACTTTTTTTTTTTTTAAGCCATCGTGCCTAAGCCTCCCAAATACTGGGATTACAGGAAAATGGTCCAAGTACTTTAAAAATGCCTCTATTTGTTTTAATGGCACACACCTGTAATTTTAGTATGCTAGGAGGCTAAGGCAGGAAGACAGCAAATTCAACTAAGAGTCCAGTTTGGGCAATTTAGCGATGTGGGGAGATACTGAATCAAAATTTTAAAAAGAGCAAGGATTGTAGCTCAATGCAAAGGCCCTAATTTCATTCTCCAGCTCTGGGAAAGAGACAAATAAACAACCTTATATAATATCTATGTATCATGTTACTGTACTTACTGATTCGGATCCGATCCGTAATCCACCAGAACATCAACTAATTTTGTAAGGCCCAATAACGCGGCCACAAAAAGTGCTGTCTGTCCCTGGGAATTAACCGCATCAACACAAATTCCTGCAAGGCAAATACAAAAGCAATTAAGTATTGTGAATCTTCCTAAACACATTATAGGGAAAAAAAGTAAAGTACTCTGTACTTTCATCAATTACTGCTGTGACCTTTTAAAACCAGCTGGGGAATTTAGCCAGACCTTATCTCAAAATGGATAGGGGATGTAGCTCAGGGATAGAGCACTTGCATAGCATATTCAAAGCCCTGGATGCAAATGCCAGCACAGCAAAAGAGAAAGAAAAAAGTCAGAAAAAAGGCTTGATTCAAAAGTAAAGAAAAAAAAAAAAAAAAAATTAAAACAGGCTGGAAATGTAGCTCAGTACAAAGGCCCTGAACCTCCAATTAAAACAAAACAAGCCAGGCATGGTGGTACACACAGGTAATCCCAGCATTTGGGAAACTGAATCAGGTGACTACAGCAAATTCAAGGTCAGCCTTAGCGACACAGTGAGTTGAAATCAAGCCTGAACTACATGAGACCGTGTCTCAAAACCCCCAAAACAAGACCCTAACCTTCCACGAAAGTAGCTTGTAACTATAGTAACAAAATGAATTAAATGGTTATCAGTCATAAGAAGGTAAAGAAAGGATTAATATGTGTTGGGAAAATAGCTTTTTAAAAAATGGAATACGCCTGTCCAGCTAGAAAACATCTTTGAATTATACAGTCGTCTGATAAAGAACTCGCGTTAAAAAACGCCCGGTGAAAATGTACTGTACAGGGGCCGTGAAAAAGGCGCAGCAAAATAAGCACTTACCTGGCAAGAGCTTAAGGTCCTGAGTTCAATACTCGATTCGGCAAACAAACCTTGTTTACACTCTGCCCCAAAAACCCGCACGAGAGCACTGGTAAGACAGCTCAGTGGCCAAATGCGTCTGCTTAGGCAAGCATGCAGGGACCTCGGTTCGATCCCCAGCACCACATGCCATAACAGCCCGCCCCCAGGGTGAGCTGAACTGACCATAAAAAATAAAAAAACCCGCACGAAAAACACCTTAAAAAACAAAAACCCGAGGTTTGATCTGAAATACTAGATATCTATTTTTTTTTGGTGGTCGCTCAGACTCTCTAAACGGCAGGGTAAAAGTTCTCATGTTGAGAATTGAGCGAAACACCTAAGCGTCTGACAACATTTGTCCAAGCAACAACTTAAAGAAATGAGTAAACAAGCACCATTGAATAACCACAAGAATTACTTCCGTAGTAAGAGAACTGCAAACAAAAACATGGTGAGCTTAATACTCAGACGAAAGCTCAAACACAAACTCAACACTTCTATTTTCACTAGAAAAAGCCACAGAAACCACTCAGACTGTATTCTTTCCCTCCTGCTCCCTCCAGGGAAGAAGCAAGAACGATCATCAATGGCAAGCGGCAGTTGCAGCAAGGCAACACCGAGAGCCGGCTTCACGCTCAGGAAAGAACACTATACCTCCTCCTCGTGGTTTCTGGTACTCTACACGATCAGAGAAACTTCTCTAGTAACATACTATAGAAATGATCCCTGAAAGTATAGCCTTGACTTTCCCTCCCTCGCCTTCGCTTCCTCCCCGCAACGCACACACATCACACTCATGGCGACTTCCTCTTGGAGCGAGCGCACCTCCTCCACCGCGCGCGCTCACACCAATGCGCGCCCCTGCGTTCCCCCAAGGGAGCGTCTCCCCCAGCCCGAGCCTCACGGAGCACTTGGAGCGCCGGCTCGTGACTTTTCCAAGAAAAGGAAGAGTTCCCGCGGGCAGGTTCATTAACATACGGTTGCGAAGCAGCCAATCGCGAGCCAGCTACTTCTGACCCGCCCCGCTTCCGCCGCCGCCCGGCCAGCCGGGGGGTTCCCACGCATCGCGCCGTTGGCCGGCCGCCAGGCGCCGGAGCTCTAGGCACCCTCCCTCCTCGGTACGCCTCAGCTGGCGCCGCGGGGCCCGGCGAGGGGCGCCTCCCGCGAGCGAAAGCAAAACGGAAAGTGGACGGACGGTGAAGGCTGTGACGTCTGCGCCGCATGCCCGAGGCTTTTGTTTATTTCATCCTGTGAGCAAAAAGACCGGGGACGTGTTCTGTGAGGGTTCCCACCCCCCAATCAAGGGATTTTTACTCTACCAACAACATGGCTGTCCTTAAACGAACAATACACTACATTATCCCCCTGCTTTACGCTTGGTGGCTTCCCATTGCTTGGGTTAAGGACAGAGCTTTCCTACACCCCTACCAGGCCCTGCGTGTCCTGGCTCCGTTTTCCCCCCTTGAGCCCCGCCACGCGCCCCCTGCTCCCACGCACGGGCTCCCTTCTGCCACGAGGCCGGTCCACCAGCGCCTCTCTTCCTCCTCTCCACTCACCTTCATCACTCAGACATCTGTCCAGGTGTCTCTCTGTCTCCCTGAACCTTTCCTGCACCTTCTTTCTTCAGCAAATCAAACACCTCTTCTGTGCGATTGTTTAATCCCTGCCACATGCATGAGACTGAAGATTCTGAAGAGTAGGGACTATGAATGGCACAAAGGCCATTACCAGATGAAGGAATACACATGCACACTCCTGGGCCAGATAAGGATCTTTAACTTCACCCCTGGGCATTCTTAAACTGGGGATGGGGTTGAGAGTGAATGTGGGTAGGTGAAGGGGTAGAATCCCCAAAGATACCACCCAAACTTCAATGACTTAAAGCCCTGAAGCCCACTAACATCGTGTGTGGGGGTCAGGGGGTATGGGACTGAACCCAAGGCCTTTGCACTGAGCTACATACTTCCCCTGCTCCCCACCCCCCTTTTTCAGACAGGGTTTTGCTAATTTGCCCAGGGAAGGATTGAATTTGAGATCCTTCTGTCTCAGCCTCTCACAGTGCTGGGATTACAAGCTTGGGCCTCTACCCCCAGTCCCACTAACATCTTTTTTTTGTCTGTGTGTCACTTTGTGGGCACAACTTTATTAAACTTTTATACATCCATTTCCCAAACAAGTCATATTTATTCATCCTTTTAATTCTTATCACTTAGCTTAGGGCATTCACTAAATACTTCATTTTCAAAGCATGCCCACTCATGCATCCATAATCTTTCTGTACTATGAAGTAGGCTGATATTCAGCATTGAGCCTCCATTATATTTTTTTCCATTATATTTTGTGGAATATATAATTTCCAATAGACTTCATTTAAAGGTGATATACAGTTCTAGTATCAATTTCTAAATCCAGATAATATTCAGGTAATTTTACTGGGTGGTACAGTCATTAAGACAAATACCAACCCATACTTGCCTGCACACCACAGATTTTACCTTCCCTTTGTCCTATGAAGCTAAAGGGTTTATTTTAGTTCTTATACTCTATAAAAGCTCTGGTCCACGGAATAATTTTTAATCCTATAAGACCTTTTGAGTTCAGTTTTTGTCACATACAAAAGCTGTGTGTTGGGGCTGGTGAGATGGCTCAGTGGTCTAAAGCACCTACTTAGAACAAGCTTAGCAAAGCACAGGGATCACGGTTCAATCCCCCAGCACCACATGCCAGCCCGCCCCACCCCCTGGTGGGCTGAGCTGCCCCCCCCCCACAAAAGCTGTGTGTTGAGACCGAAGATTATCTACGATCTTCTGTTCTATTACTATGCCTTTTTCTACTTCCTCTGATAGCAATAACTTGGTTTCTGAATCTTTGGTTACAATAACTACAAAAGACTGTATTGACTCAAGGATATTAGTCACCACCACTTGATGCTGATAAACTTCCAAAGTGTTCTGAGCACGACTAATGACAATGGAAGGGTCAGTCTCCAATTTAAAGGATATTATATATGCTTTGGAAGCCCAATCTTTAACTAAAGGAGAAAGCATTTTTGGCACCATCTTCATAGTTATCTCCACTACAGCATTTATCCCTCGGTATTGTAATTTTGTCTGTATCCAGGCTCCCCGCTAGGTTGAGGTCCTCGAGAGTGTCTTTATTCATCTCTGTATCCCCAGTGCCTAGCAAATACAGAATGCAGAAAGGCCATCTCCAGATCAAGAGCAAATTAACCTGAGATTGGTTATAGGGGATCAGAGCTCTGGAAGACAAGTGCCCATCACCTGCAGTGGGCCCCCAGGTGACTGGATCTTGTGTTCAGGCATTCCAGAGACAGGAATATAGAAATCTGACATGGCCGTAGCCAGGTAAAACATCACAGAAGGGCCTAGAATGCTGAGTGCTTGTGCCGCAGCCTGAAGCAGATGCAAATAGTCTGCCAAAGTGGTGAACTCTACGGCTAGGAAGGTGCCGGCTGTCGATGCCTCCTGATAGCTCCGCAAAACCTCGGCAAAGCCAGGCTAGTGCATTCTACTTGACTTCTAGGCTCACCATGCCTGAGTGGGCTGGCCCAGCCAGGTCTGAGGTGGAAAGCGACAGGTATAGGGGAAGGCGGAGCGAGCACTGTACAAGAATAGGACCCCATAGCCTGCGGCCAGAAAGGCCTCTGCCCAGGTGGTGCCGCGCCGCCCGCTGCTGAAATTGTCCAGGAAGCGCATGGGCCGCACTTTCAGAGGGAACTTGGTGCCACCAGACATGACTAACACCACCCTGCCCCCTCTAACATCTTAAGAGACAGGCTCACAACAAAAGGCAAAGGGCAGATAGAGGTTAAAAAAAAATACACACACACACACACACACACACATATCTGAAAGATGGTTCATGGTGACAAAGGAGGTAAAAGATTAAAAAAGGAGAAATCAATCAGTTATAAGGGTCTGAGAATTTAGCCAGGTGTGGTGGCATACAGCTGTAGTAACCCCAGCACTCTGGGAGGCTGAGGCAGGAGGACTGCAAATTCTAGCCCAACAATGGCAATTTGCCAAGATCCTGTCTTCAGAGAGGCAAGAACTGTTAAACTGATAGCCCATGCTGTTTGCCCCTCTGCCAGTGGACTCCTTTGGAGGTAGGGAGCAGGTCATCCTGGACACCATAGTGCCCCAGCCTCTCCTCCAGTATCTTGAATCCTCCAGTAACTGTGAGCTAAATAAACCTTTCCTTCCAACTCAAAAAGTAGCATTCAGGAAGCTTCCAGACAACCAAACAAGTGAAGATTACTGGAAGACATGGTATCCAGAAGGCATGGAAGCTCACTGTCTATTCCCTGTGACTGGTCCTATGCATCTTCCTTTGTATGGTATAGGGGTACAAAGCTATAATCCCAGAACCCTGAGAGGCTGAGGCAGGAATCCAAAATTGTAGTTCACCCTATGCAGTGAGAGTGTCTTAACATAGGCCTGGGAATATGGCTCAGTGACATAAGAACCTGCCTGGCAAGAGCAAGGTTCTAAGTTCAATCCCCAGAACTGAGAAAAAAAAAGTATCTTAACATAAAAATAGGCCTCATAGTGAGACCTTGTCTCAAAACACACAAATAAACAAACAACATCTAACAAAAAGATGCTGAAAGTGAAAAAAAAAAACAAACCCTTTTTTTCCCTTTAAACAATTTATTTAACTGAAATGGACTTCCTTTGGTTTAACCAAAGTGACTTCCATTTATTTTGCTTAGCTTTTCTTCATGCTGATTTACAGGATCTTCAAACTAGTACAAATATTTTATAAATATCTGACTATTTGGGTGGGCCAGCCAGATAGTTCAGCGGACTAAAATGCCTGCTTAGGCAGGGCACAGCGGCCAGGGTTCAAGCCCTGCCCCTGGGACACGCTGAGCTGGCATCTGAGACTGGACATGGTAGTGGCGCCCACCTGTAATCCCAGTGCTTGGGAGAGTGAAAACAGGAAAATAACTACGAGGCTGATTTACATAGTGAGAACCTATAGACGCTGTACTAAATACATTATGGTAATATTTGTGAGGCCTTCCTTTTTGCACAGTACCCATTCCCTTGATGTCTACAATATCACCCTTTTTGTAGATTTTCCTGTATGTGGCCAACAGAACAACCCTATGTTTTCTAAAAGGCCTGGAGAATATATACTTCCACTTCTGTTGCTCTCTGGTCTTCTTGGCAGATTACTGGAAGATGGCAGTTCCGGCCAAAAGGAAGGCTACACCTCTATTTATTTATTTATTTTTTTGCGGAACTGGGGATTGAACTCAGGCCCTTATGCTTGCCAGGGAAGCATTTATTCTACTGAGCCATCTCCCCAGCCCCTACACCTCTATTCTTAAAAGCCCAACTCAAAACAGAATACCCTCAGACTATGCCCTCTCCCTCTTGCTCTGTATCCCCTAGAAAGAAGATCCAAAATTGCTAACAAATGTGAGGAAAAAATTACACCAAATGCCAGCTTCACACTCAGGTGTGAACACTGTACCTACTCTCTAAGGTTTCTGATAATTTACATAAGGATTTTTTTTCTTTTTAAATTTTATTTGTGTGTGTGTGTGTGTGTGGCCAGCTCAGCCCACCAGGGGGCAGGGCTGGCTGGCATGTGGTGCTGGGGGATTGAAACGCAGTCCCTGTGCTTTGCTAAGCTTGTTCTAAGTAGGTGCTTAGACCACTGAGCCATCTCACCAGCCCCAAGGATTTTTTTTTTCTACTTGTGTTCTGTTTTGTTTTTGAGACAGAGTTTCACTATATAGTTCAGGCTGGACTTGAACTTGCTATATACCCTTGAAACTGCAGTCATCGTCCTTGTATCAGCCTAATGTTGGTATGCCAGGCATGTGTCGCCATGCCTAGCCTCTACACAAAGTTCGTAATTGTTTTAGCCATATAACTTCTCGATGTCCCAGATTACCCCCTTCCAAGTCTCATGTAGTCATAGTGGGGCTTTACAGAGGTGGCTGGATTTATGGTGTGTGATGCTGAAATTAAGAATATAGTCCACTGATTTGGCATACTTCTGAAGGATTTTTTTTTTTTGGGGGGGCTGGCTCAGGATGCCTTAAGGGCAGGTCTGAAAAGGCATGAGGATTTGGGGATTGAACCACAGGGTCCTGAGTCTGACTGCTTTGCTTAAGGAAGCACTTGAACAACTGAGCCATTGGGCAGGCCCCCTGAATTTGGCATAATTCTGGCTAGGATTAAGGTACTAGATTTTTTAAAAAAATATTTATTTATTTATTTATTTATTTTGTGTGTGTGTGTGTGTGTGTGTGGCCAGTTCAGCCCACCAGGGGGCGGGCATGTGGTGCTGGGGTATTGAACTGTGGTCCCTGTGTTTTGCTTAGCTTAGCTTGTTCTAAGGTGCTTTAGACCACTGAGCCATCTCACCGGCCCAAGGTACTAGATTAATGGTATGAGTGCTACCTGTCCTAAGGTTGGGTACTGCAGAAGAATGTAAGGGACAGAGTGGCTTGTCACTGGTTCTACTTGCTGCTTTGCTTGCTATGCACTATTTCTCCTCTGTGATTCCCCTCTGCCACGACACCCTGTCTTGGAATCAGCCATTTGTGGACAGAAACCTCTATGAACTGAGTTAAATAAACCTTCTTTTCCCTTGAGCACTAGGTATTTTGTCTTAGAAAAGAGGGCTGGGGGGCCAATGAGATACTTCAGCAGATTAAGCGCCTGCTTAGGGAAGTGCTGGGACCAGGATTTAATCCCTGGCATCACATGGTGCACTGACCTAGCCACTAAGACCAGGCATAGTGGCCTATGCCTGTAATCCCAGCATGGGGTAGGATGAAAACAGGAGGATCATAATGAGTCCAAGCTGCAAAGTGAGACCTGGTAGCAAATACACATATTAAAAAAGAAGAGGACTGGGGAAGATAGCTCAGCAGCATTAAGCAACTGCCTGGCAAGGTCAAGGTCCTAAGTTTGACCCCTGGTACCAAAAAAAAAAAAAAAAAAAAACCAACTAAGACAATGACTGATATGGCCACCAGTCTGGAAAGGTACTTAATAGTCATCTCATGCAATCATGTCTCCTACAAATATCTCCTTACACACTGACTCCTTTAAAGATAGCAAAAGATCTCGATTAAAGTTGTTCCAAAAAAAGGAATACTGCTGGGAGCAATCTGGACAGGTATGAATCATATCTCCTGGTAACAAAGCACTCTTTATACTCCTGGTGTTGTAAAGTATCTTCATTTTCATGCAGGATCCTAGTCTTTTCTCTGGGCCTTGCCATACCTAAGACTTAAGACTTTTCCAGTGTCCATTCCTCCCACTTTTTGGGGGTCTCCTTCACCATCAGTGCTACCCTTCGGCCTCCTCTGAGCAGATCTGTTAAATGCACATGGGTCTGAGCATCCCTGTTGGGGAGTGGCTGAAGTTGAAATTCCATCACACATATGGGGCTAAAGCAAGGCCAGCCCCCGAGAGTATGGAGAGCCTGAGGTGAGCCAGGTGAACACACTGATCCAGACCTGAGAACACAGGGCACCTGAGGCAAGCTAGGTGAGTGAGTCGTTAGGCAGAAGTGTTTCATTTGACATCAACCTGCTGAGAGTATAAATACATGCACTGCAGCCACTGGACAGCTTCTTTTCTCTGACCAAGTGAGAGAGCTCCCCTTGACCTCAGCTTTCTTCATTTTTACTCTTGCCTTCATTTCTTCTTGGTCTTCCTCCAGGAGTTTCTCAAGAGTTGTGCTAGATGTAGCACATCACTCCAGCAAATTCTAGGATTTAACTAACATCCCTCTTCTGGAAGCCTTCCTTGACCTCTTCAAGAAACAGTATTTTTGGTCCCTACTAATCTTTTATGTGCTGAGTAACTGCATGATGAATCAGTGCCTGGTTACTGACTTCACTATTGATAACCATGGGTTTCACCCACTCTTTTATTCCACTACTCCCACAAACTAGGCCTGTCTGTAAAGTAGTAAGAGGAGCCTGCCTCTTGCCTACCCTTGATTGTTTTCTGTTTGAGACAGGGTCCTTGTATGCAGCTCAGGGCCTTAAGCTCACTTTGTAGCCCAGGATAATGGTGAATTTGCAATTATCCTCCTGCCTCAGCCTCCCTACTCCTGGGGTTACAGGCATGCACCACCACACCCAGCTCCATCATTGGTTTTAAAATATGTCTGTGTATCCCAGATCTCTCTTCTGAGCGCTGGTCCAAATATTCAGCCTCTTATCTGACACTGTTTAGCCTAATCACAGGTATCTCACATTCAGTCTTTTCAAACTGACTTCCATCAGCTGCCTCCCAAACTTACTCTTCTTCCAGGCCAGTTATACTACTTTCAACTCAGTTGCTCAAAACAAAAATCTGAGTCATCCTACCCTTGTCTTCCTCCATTATTTATCCCATCACCTCTTCTAACTGCAAAAACCATTTTGAAATATGAATCTGTTCACATCTATGGTATACTAAGAAGTGTGTGTGTGTGTGCGTGTGTGCGTGCGTGCGTGTGTGTGCACGTATGTGTTTGTGATCATCAGATGGTCTTTTAGTAACCAAAAAGACCAAGGCATTGGGATTTTCAACACCCTTTCCTTTCCACTGACCTACAGAGAGAGAAGAGGAGCTGGAAAGTGAATTCAACCATCAATGGCCAATAATTTTATCAATCATATAATATAATGAAACAACCATAAAACACTACACAGCTGGACATAGTGTAACAAGTCTGTAATTTCAGCTAGATTTTTAAGCCTGTCTAGGCTGCTTGGCAAGATACTGACTCAAATTTTGTTTTTCAAAAATGGGTAGGGGCAGAGCCAAGAATAAAAGAGTGGGAGGTCTGAATAATATACCAGCCTCCTCTCTTCTATCCCTGCCTGCTCATTATCCCGAACATCTTCTACCATGGCTACTTCAGTAAGTTCCCACTTGAACAAAGGCATCAAGAAGGTATACATGTCCTTGCCTCAAGGCAACAAAGTTTGAGCATGTATGTATAGATTGATGGTACTAGGTCTGTGCTGTAAGACTTTTACCCTGGACTATGAGCCCAGGTGTACAGAAGTGTCACCTGAGTGGAATTTTGATGGCTCTAGAACTTTTAATTCTGAAAATTCTGACAGTGACATGTACTGTATCCTTGCTATCATGTTTCAATAATAATGATGTTCTGTGAAGTTTTCAGGTAGAACTTAGCCTGCAGAGACCAATTTAAGAAACACCTACAGAGCAGGGAGTGTAGCTCAGTGGCACAGTGCCTGTCTGGTAAGCATCAGGCTCTGGGTTCAATTCCTAGTACCAAAGAGGGTGGGAGGAATAAAACCTGGAGCCAGTACAGTGGCTCATTCCTATCATCCCTGCACTCTGTGAAGCTGAGGCAGGAGGGATGCAAATTCAAGCCCAGCCTGGATAACTATAGAGACCTTGTTCTAAAACAAAACAAAATAAAAAGTCCTGTAAATGGATAAAGGACATGGTATGCAACCAGCAGTCCTGCTTCAGAATGGAGCACAAATATAGTCTCACGAAACAGATGGGTAACCCTATAGTTGGCCTTTAAATGGTTCCCTTGGTCCCAAGGTCCATATTACTTGTGGTGATCCTTCTGCCTCAGCCTCCAGAGTGCTGGAATTACAATATGTACCACCAGGCTGACACTGACAAAGGCTCTACAATCTGAGGTACAGGATCTCAGGATAAATCCTGAGGGGATTTGACTGACCTTATCAGACCCAAAAGCTACAACTCTTGTTGCATAGGTCTTGCTTTATCTTGCTCTTATCCAGCAGACAAGTATAAACATGAAGTATAAGAAGTAAAGGCATGGTATTATGTTGAGCTGTAGGGGACTCTTGTCAACAATTTTTGACACTGCTAGTGAAGCGGAAGACCCAATACTATTATGGACTACTGGACTCTTTAAGACTATTTTGCTGAGTTAACACACCTATAATACTCAAATGATGAAACTAAACAAAAAAGGGGATACAGATGAATGTCCATTTTGTATCTGTGTATTCAAAATGGTTAGGATAGATATACAGTTACATTCTCTTAATGAATAGAGGGATTTGTTCTAATAGTGTTTGTAAACAGGATATTATATCTGCATCTTGTACAGCAAATAACCACTAGGAAGAGAGTATGCAATATGTTAATTATTGGAACTGTCCTACCAATTTAATTTGAAACTGCCTCATTGCTGTTTGTTTCTCAATAAAATTATGGAAAAAAAAAAAACAAAAACCAGGGGCTGGTGAGATGGCTCAGTGGTCTAAAGCACCTACTTAGAACAAGCTTAGCAAAACATTGGGACCGCGGTTCAATCCCCCAGCACCACATGCTAGTCAGCCCCCCCCCCCCGTGGGCTGAGCTGGCCACACACACACACACACACACATAAATAAATAAATAAATAAAACCCAAACAAACAGTATGTACCACCAGGTGCCTGAATTCTGTGTTTTTTTCTAAGAGCAGAAAAACATCCTGGTCACTAGGTACCAAATTTGATTTAGATATATGGATCTTTAGTCAGGTGATGTGGTGCACACCTATAATCCCAGCACTTGAGAGTCTGAGGCAGGAGAATCACCATGAGGTTAAAGCCAGCTGGTATGGATTATATAGCAAGTTGAAGGCCAACCTAAATTAAAGGGTGAGGCCCTGTATTGAAAGAAAGAAAGAAAGAAACAAACAAACAAACTCTGCTGAGTATGATACACTGGTGTACACCTGTAATCCCAGCATTCACAAGGCTAAAACAGGAGGATCGCTAAGTTCAAGGCTAACTTGAACTACATAGTGAGAGCCTGTCTCAAAAACAAGGGCTTGCCAGATAGCTCAGTGAACTAAAGTGCCTGCTTAGACAGGTGTAGGGACTGGGGTTCAGTCCCTGGCATTCCATGCCAGCCCCGCCCTCAGGGCACACTGAGATGGGTAACTGAGACTGGGTATAGTGGTGTGTACCGACAATCCCAGCACTTGGGAGGCTGAAAACTGGAGGATCACTATGAGTCCAATCTATGTAGTGAGAGCCTGTATTAAATACATAACAACTACCACCACCACTACCACCAAAATATTTTTTTAAATTTTTTTCCATAATTTTATTGAGAAACAAATAGCAATGAAACAAGTTTCAAATCAAATTGGTAGGACAGTTTCTATAATTAACACACTGCATACTCTTTTCCACCACCAAAATATAAGGATCTCCTCTTGCGTAGGGATGGGCAATACAGCTCTTGCTCCTTCATTACGACATAAAGGTATCCTTGCCCTGCCCAACCTTCTGCAGGACACTGGACTGTTAGCAGGTGGATACACAAAACTAGCTTTTATTTGAGCCTCATGGCTGGGTTTAAAAGACACATATACATGTTCACACGTGGGTTTAGAAGTAGGCGTTGACTGCTCAACTTGAGCATGCCACTGACAAGGGCTACTGGGGTTGTTGTCTGGTAGGGCCAACAAATTGCTGAAGTAGGCCTTTTTGATATATTACATTTTTAAAAAGCAAAACAAAAATAGATTTTAATAAATTTTTTAGGGTTTTTAAGTGTAATTTTATGAAACTGCCTGTTTGCTTTAGCTGTCTCCTTCTACTCTGCTCTTGGAGTTGAGAGACAGCGATGGAGTTAAAAGATTTGTAATTTTGAGTCCTAGAATCTTCTGTCCTTGTGCCAAATATCCCTTTGTTAAGTACCCTAAGGAGCAGTTTCTTTTTATAAGGCCCATCGCCACTCCTGTATTTCCTCTACCATTCTATGGTTTTTGTGCTGGCTGCAACAGGCCAGCTGTGTGTTTTTCCTGTCATGATGACTTCTAATTGTTATTTTATGTTCAGTTAAATAACTCAATATAATACTGTAACTGCCCAAAGCAGTGCTTATAAATCAATGTAACATTTATTTTTTAAAAAATTGGAGGCTGGGGATATACACAGTATGATCACTCAATATGATGAATGAATATATATATATATATATACACACACACACACACACACACACAAGTGAGGCATGGTGGCACACTTGTGTAATCCCAGCACTCAGGAGGCTGAGCCAGGAGGATTTCTGGGAGTTTGAGACCATCCTGGGTTACAAAGTGAGCTCAAGACCAGACCGAACTACATAGAGAGAATGCTTCAAAAAGACAATAAATAAACGAATAACCTTTATTATAATAAAAGACATATTGTGGGGGCTGGGGAGATAGCTCAGTGGTCTAAAGCACCTACTTAGAACAAGCTTAGCAAA